CCTCCAACTGTACCGTGCGTTCGGGCAAACCGTTAGGAATTCCTAAATGGAGTAAATTTGTGTAGTTTTCTTGATTTATTCTGCAGATATCGGTAAAATGTAGGCAAGGCTTTGGCGTAATTTGAAGGAGCAACTAATATTCTTCAACCTGGTATTTTTTTTAGATTTTATTTTTCATTGTTTTCGTCTGTTTTTTTGAGTTTAAAAAATGTGAGCTGGCTGGAGCTTTCATCCCTTGTCTATTTCTTACACTATATACCAGCCGATACCCCCCCCCACGCGCTCATGGAGACTGCGTACTACAGTTGATTATAATTCCTGGGCTCCCTGTGATCTAATTTATAAATGCCAATAAAGCAAATTGAAACCTGAAATGCACATAAGAAAATTGTTTGCCATTTTTTGTTTTCAGTTTGTCTGATACAACTCTAACTATATTTCCATTGTTAGCCTATGGTAGTTGTTGCAGTGATTGCTCAACTTTAAGCGTTATACATTTACTTGTACGGTGTCAGAAACCATAAAAAAACAACCTTGAAAATATTAACAGACTAGTTTGGCATTAAAAAAAGATAGCCAAAAGAACATCGAAATATGGAATCATTTCAGTAAATATGTAAGTACAGACAGCAATTGATAAGACCTGGTGCGTGAGGCACAAAATGAACGTGGCAATAATTATTTGTTGTTGTTTTTTGTCTATTAGTACGCCGCGTGCGACTCCCAAGAGCTGGCATCCGAGTAAAATCTCACATGATATAGCCCTTTAACATTGGGAAGCACCGTCCACAGTGTGCATAATACAAATACTTCGAATGTCGGCCTTTGATTTTCAGATTCTCAAGGCGACTTGTCATCGTCACAACATGCACATTGAAAATTGCTCCGATTCAAATTCAAATTGAGGATGAACACATCACCGTTGATTGAAGACGTTCCGAGAAATAAAATACTGAAATACGTGACCAGAGCGTCAAACGTGCAAACGAATTAAGCATATATACTTGCACTTACTTTAACTCAATGTCCCATGTAGCGATGAACACTAATGTTCATGTCAAAAGCCAGAAAACTTTTAAATTACCGTACGATAGTACGAGCAGTGACCTCACTTTTGCTTTACCGCCACCATAGAACTGTGCAATACGTCATCGGTTTTTGGGCACGTTCAGACAGATCGTAGAGTGACAAAACTGAAGTTGGAATTGCGGCAAAAATAAAACATGTAGTTTTAGCCTGAATAAATAAACTGATGTAGTGTTTAGTTCACTATAAACGTTAACAGAGAGGCTACTCCAAGCTTCGCATTATCTGTCATAGAAGGTCAAATGTGTTACCCATCATGCTTTACCAAAAATGGCAGAAGTCAATATTTTGAGAGAGGCAGATTCGACGTGAAATAAAAACAAACAGCGAGTGAACGTGAAGTTTTGACATTTGGTGATGTTCAAGAAATTATTAGAGGTACGATATAATGTATACATTTGACGTGTATATATTATCACATATATTGTATAGATTTTGTTGGGACCGAAAATATTGTTAGGGCAGATAAAGATAGTACATTTTATTGCATCTTTAGAAAAAAAAACATTTCTATCAGTTGTTAGCAATAAATATATGTAACAAAAACTAAAGAGCAGTACTAGTAGCGTTAAAAGAAAATTTTGCAATTTCATTTCGTGTTGTGAAGCACCTGTTTAGAAAACTTCTAATGCTTTTGACCATTTCCTCCTATCTATTCTTACTTAATAGAAGCCTTAGACTCATAAATTAAAAAACCCAGAATTTATTCATTTTGCAATAAATTGTACTCCAAGGCAATATAAGGATATTGACCTAAAAAAAGTGGGGGTCACCAGCCTTTTTTTCGAGAAATTGATGGTTGTATGAAAAGTCGCCATTTTGACACTATTATAACACTTTTACCACAAAATCTAGCCTGGTGACATATAGGCTGAAAAAATCATATATTGTTAATGATGGAGTACTTTTTGTTGTTCTGAATCATTTAAAAAATCTGGGTTTTAAAAAGTGTCAAAAACTGCAATTTTTTTTTAACATTGTGTTTATGGAATTGTTATAAAAATAGCAATTTTAAAGAAATATTAAGACACGTTTCTCAAAAAGCATAACTGTAACACACAAAGTAATGCTATTTCATTGTACCATGAGATATTAGCTTCATGATTGTACCATGGAACTATGGGGTTTGTAGTTCCATAATTGTACATAATAAACCAATGAACATTGTCATGCGATTTATGAAAAATTTTGTCGAAAATTATGACTAGGTTTCTCCCTTAAGTTTATTTTGCAAATTTCACATTTTTTTTATTTTTTATGGCATTGTATGAACATCTGTATTCTGTGAAAGTTTGAAATTAAAATCATTAGTGGAACTCTGTTAAATCTAATGGCGATGTAAATCAGCATATATTTTTACTTAACTATAAAATATGCAAATTAGCAATTATCTCGGCTTCTTTTTAGTGCACATCCCAGAACTTTTAAAAAAAGATAGCTCCTAGACGCTTTGACCTTTTCGTTTGAAATTTTCATAAATGATTGACAATGTGTTTATCTTCAAAACGCCATCAGGGCATTGTTTTTGGTTGAACAGCAATCGCACAGACAACTAGCCTGGGTGTTAATTTATGCATAAACTTGAATTAGTGAAATCTGAGCTGCTGCCCAGCAAATTTGACAACTGGAAGACGGTTTTCAAGACAGCACTTTCTTCATAGTAAACAAATGTACCCGTAAACCAATTTTGACAGGAAACAGAGGCATGGTTTAGAAGCTAATTTTTTTTAAAACTTTTGACGAAAAAAACACATTTTTGTGCATATTTCAAACTACAGTGTCCATAAAAAAATACGTACAAAATTTTAAAATTCATACAATTAGCTTTCCGATAATATATAGTTTTGTGGACAAGGGAGGTCATCTTGGTTTCCTAAATAACTAATTAAAATACCTGTCAGGTAAACTGCATCTCTACCTTAAGGTAGCGAGAAGGGAAATTTTCATTTTTTTTTCTAGATTTTACAAAAATTGATAGAACGGTTAATTTAAACCGTGATACATCATCCCAGCTTTTCAAAAGATCAAAATTTTGGAAACACGCTGCTCAAATTAGTGGATATTTGCATAATGTTTATGTGTTATTGACGATTCTAACATAATGGGTGATAAGCTTCCTGTCGCAAACAAGGTGTGTTTATTTTATGTCCACTGTCAGCAAACATGGCCATAACTTTGCGCAACTTTCTTTTAAATTGTTTTACTATATTCTATTTTACTAACATCATTTTACTATATAACGCAATGATGAGAAAAAGAAAGAAAACGAAGACGCAAATGACAGATAAGGCAAAGAAAAATCTGCGACTCAGTGACACAGGGTTCATTTTATGACCAACCCTGCGAGTGGTTCAAAAGTGAGGTTGAACTATCCGCTTCCAAGACGATCGTTTCCGTTTACGCAGAGACCATGTGCCCATATAATTTTCCGTTGACACTGCCGTTTTAGTTTTTTAGCAGCAGTGGTTTAAATCCATTCACACAGATTTACAATTTTCTTTACAACATTATGTTAATAACACGAAGTTGATTACCTGGATACATGAGTTTGACCCATTACACACTTTGTTTGAAGTTCAAAGTAATGAACGTAGTCATAACAAATTATACTTCCTAATTGCGATGACAGAACGTAACATCGATATAGCTTAGTCAAAACAAGTAAACATTTCAAAATATAATTGAAAACTGTAATCTGAATACTACTTTTGCGTACCGAACTTGGTAATCGTTGTGTTATCCATGAGAGAGTCGTAACTGGGCAATACTTACCCATCATCTTGTATTTCTTTCACCAATTATTCACGAGCAGTAACTAAAGAAGGGACTGTTTTCTTGTGATTTCTATGCTTTCTAGCTATGGTCTTCTTGTCGCAGCAAATTGTTTCTTCGAACATCAGACATTTTGTTTCACCGTTATAATAGTTTTATTAGATTTCTTATCAGAGACACTTGAAGGATTAGCTTGTTGTAAACAGTCAGCATGTACAGTGGGACTGTAATGTATGTCAGAGGATTATCGTTCGTTGTATGTTTGCATAACAATGGAAGCCATGTCTCTCAAATGCTACAGCAGTACGGGACTCGAAATGCCAGCCGTTTTCTTCAATTTTCACAATCGCGCTTAAAATTATTCGTTATCTGACATGCTTAATGGGTTCTATGATAAAGTGGTTAATAAGTTTGGTCATTCTTAGTGTATGTTTATAATAATGCTGCAAATCTGCATCGTTTTACCATCCAAAACTGTTTTTCAAGTTTTTCTCGAGTTTAAGATTTGATTCAGTACGGCTCATTGGGACCACCGTCAAATCAAGTGCGTTCGGGCTATGACATTCAAACTCGCACTTATCGTTCAAAAGATAATGACGGTGCGAAATATGTCTGTGTTTTTTAAGAAAATGCTTTGTGGCCGAATAATAGTCAGTTGAAGGTGACAAGCGTGAAATAATCAGGGAACAAAAAAACAAACCTGCGTAGAAATCAGAAAAATAGGGGTTTTGATTACCGGCACATTTCAATGGACTTGATTACGGACAATGCATGGTGCAAATTTCACCCGTAAACTCTGCAGTGTGCTCTCGCAATCGCGAATTTAGTCGTTTTTACAAGGTTCGGCATTTTTGTTGTCATGTGGTACTTATGTAAACAATGACTGTCGAGTTTGTGCGAACTTGTCCGTCTATACTTATGCTTTCGAATCATATATGCTAAATTATGGTTCTGAATGAAACAACAGACAGAGAATGCTTTATTCAAAAACGTCATCAAACCCTTCTCGCTACCTTAAAGGGCGGCAGTCGTCGTGCTGCGTCTAGTTCGATATGGGACTCATTGCGACGTATACAACACGTGTAAAAAACATTGTTTATTTACATGAAATTTGAACACATGCTGCACGACGACCACCGCGTTTTAAGTTAGCTGCGGTTTCGTAGATCTCTATTGCGACTGTAAACTGATTACAGCCTTTTAAATTTTATTTGGACGTCTTTTCTGTTTGTTTTGTGTTGACAGTCGAATATCTGCAGGCCAGTCAGATACCGATGACCAAAAATGTCCCTCAGGGAGCTATGATTCCACAGCTATATCTTAGATATATATAACTAAGTTTCTGGAATGAATTGGTGATTTTATTTTAGGATTCAATATCTGTCATGATTTTTTGTTGGTCTAAATGATATTTAGGGCAAAGTAGTAAAAAAATGTAATTCATCTTCAATCTCATTTAGCGAGCATTGTTTTCAAAATCTATTTTCTAAGGGAGTCTTTGGCTGCATGGGTATGCCTTCCTTTCTTAATTGCTAAATTGTGGTTCCAAATTTAAATATGTTATTGACATACCATTATTTCAACTGAGCGTTGGTATGGTACTGTAATATATATTTTATGAAATCAACAGCATGCTTTTTGCATGCAAACACTGGTTACCCTCTAAGAATGATCTCAGGTGAATGTGTATTATATCTAATTGATGGTGGGAATTGCCAAGCTAGTTTATTACAATTGTGAACAAATAACACTGACCTGTGAAGTACCGGTACGCCTTCAAGAAGTGTCATTGATGGAATATTTTATTTTTCAATTTATTTCAATTTTAATTAGTTGTATTGCAGTACTCCAGTTATAATTAAAATATATATACATTTTTTTATTTCATTGCTAAGAATGAGTCAGTGCCATCTTGCCTTATGTTCACGCTCTGTTTTCTCCACACCGAGTGTGCATCGTAGCAAAACAGTGCGGTTCAGTCAGCAGTTTTTTTGGAGGTACTCCTTCTGAGGTACTTCCTTTATGACTATTGGTAACAGTAAGACGTGGTAGGATAAAATTGATCTTACAGATGGGATGGGCAAGTGTGCACCCGGGGGGGTGGGGGGGGGGGGGGTCTGAACTTTTTTACTCTCACAAACTGCGAGGGGACTGACCTCTGCAGAGGAGAGTTTCGCCCTCAATGTAAAACCACCGAACCCGTGGCCACATATCCCTGTCGCACACAGATTGCACCGACTTGAAAGCAGTGGGTAACCGACCCCTGGACACTCCATGTAGTGGTACACAGTTACAAAATACTGCTGCTATCTCCGCCTTCCCTGCCCCCCTCTGTTGGGGGGGGGGGCTGCCTGGGAATCCCCTCAAGCCAAGGCAGTCCAACAGGAGGTAGACAGTTTGCTTGCAAAGGGCGCACTACACAGGGAAGAAGACCCAGCAACAAGTCCACGCTTCTACTAACACGTGTTTGTAGTTCCAAAGGCTACAGGTGGCTGGCGTCCATGCTACTGGATTTGTACATTACCGGTACTTAGATTGTTCGTCTTGCATCAAGGAGGTTCTGGGTTCAATTGTCCAGTACTGACTATTTACCCAGCAGTATTGATCAGAGTACCGGTACAGTCTACCCTGCCTTCTGAACATGTACATGTTTAGAAAGATTGTCTAGCAGAACAATTTTGAAAAAAGTACTACTACTATTGTGTACTAATATTTGCTTGCCATACTTGCAGCGCATCACTAAGGTAATGGGACAAGCTCACACCACAGTTCATGAGAATCTCTTGAAGTATGGTGGAATACTTGGACAGTTGACAGTTCTTAGGTATCAAGATTTTCTGCATGCAATATGTGAACTCAATGAAATGTAAGTTTAAGTATGCAACCTGTTGCCATAGTAATATGATCATATGGCTTCCTGGGAAAAATAAACTATTTTTAGCTGAGGTGGTTAATATTGATTTGTTCTCCTTAGCCAATTATTAATTTGTTTACTCAATTCACAAACTGAAAAAAGAATATCATCCTAAAAAAATCACAAATCACATATACGTTAATAGAGCAATATGTTTTGCAGTTGATTTAATATATTATCTTTCTGTGGGTGACATTATAAATATGTTTTTGAATAATGATGATTTCATCAGAACTATATATATAATATGCTTTGAGATATTGCAATAACAACATCCCGTGTCATATTGTATTAATTTAAGCATGGAAAATACGTTTAGTTTGGTCATATATTTTGGTTGATGGATTATAAGTTTTACATAGAAGTTATTCACCAAGCAATTCTCTCTGCTGTTATAACTCTAGATTTTTCAAAATAACCTTTTGTTCTGATAGAGCTGGTACATTGCATGATTCTCAAGGTAAGAAGTTACAGTTTGAAGTAAAAAGAGGAACCGACAATACAGTGTTGTGGAAAAGCACAGTGAGGGTTAGATGTAAAAAAGTAAGCAGTCATTTGATTTTGATTATTATATATCGCGGGCATCGTCTTAGAAACCGCAATCTTTTTATCAATTTCTCTTCCTTAGTGCATTGTTTATGATTTTGTCCTACTGTCAAAAGCAGATGCGACACAATCATTTTCACAAGGGGTATGCATGTACCTGGTAGTATGTTAATCCCCATTTCTAATTATTGTTATGATAATTTATCTGTATAGTTTATTCAAAATTGTTGTTTAGTTTGCCACTACTATAGACTCTTCTGATGTTTTCATAACAAATACGACTGGCATTGTATCTGCAAAGGAAACTGATAAGGAAAGTTAATTTCACTATTTTAATGCAAATTTTATTATTTTATAAACTTATTTGCTTCCTCTGCAGTTGAATAATGAAAATCAGGTGGAACTTACACGCATTATGAATTTACATCAGTTTGTACAACTTTACAATTCAATAACACGGTGTGTCACATCATCACACGATGAGGAAAGTCAAGCACAGGAAGGCACATCACAAATGCTAACAGGACCTTTAGAAGCATCAGCCATATTAAAAACGTAAATATTTTATAAGATTATCATTATAAAGACATGTAGTCGACTGGTCTGGTTGTACAGTTACATTTACTGTAAAAGTTCCATTAATTATTTAATTTGTCCACCTCTATTTCTCAGAATTTATTTTCTTTTACCCTTGCAAAATCAACCATTTTTCATTCTCTCATCTTCAAAGGTTGTATTGGAAGTGAACTTATTCTGTTTGAAGTAGATGAACATTTTGTGCCTGAAAGATGACTTTTTTTTAGAAAAAAACATACTAGGGTTTACGATAGAGGTATAATAATATACTGTGAAATACTTTATTTTCGCTTGGAATTATTTGCTATTTCTGCTGAAGGAGAGACTCGGTGAAAATAAAAATTCAGCGAATATACCTTTTTTCCTATATTTTACATTAAACTCACCTAAAATCAGTGAAAATAAATTCCATGCAAAATACCCAAAAATTCTTTTCAGCAAAAATAAAGTATTTTCATCTTGGCTATCCATAGCTTTCAGCAGACAGTGTGTTCAACAAAGTTCAACAAAACTGATTGACATTTGGAAGAAGTGTGAGTGAAATAACTTGTATGAAATATAAAGCTTGTAACTGTCATCTGTCAAAACACGTGTTTATTACATGCCAATCATTAACAAGAAAACAAATTTATAATAAATTACTGTGGAGAAAAGTGAGCTCTGTCATCCTGAATGTTGATTGGTTAATCATAATGACCTAGCTGGTCGATGATCAGCTATCAATCAACTCAGTTGAGTAATGGCAGGCATGTTAACACATCTATCGTCATTATTAAGATCATCATGATTAGAATTCTGAGAAAAGCAACAGCTATGTAGGGATATTACTGGGATAGCAG